GAGGTGCCACGTATGCTGGAGGTGGGGGCACCTCAGGTAGTGGAGGTGTCACTACCACGGGAGGTGGAGGTGGTGCAGCTGGTGTTGGTGCCACTACCACGGGAGGTGGGGACGATGCAGGTAGTGGGGGTGCCACTATCACGGGAGGTGGGGGCGGTGCAGGTGGTGGAGGTGCTACTACCGCAGGAGGTGGAGGTGGTGCAGCATACGTTGGTGTTGGAAGTACTGATGCTACATACGAAGGCGTTAGAGGTGGAGCTGGGAGTACTGGCACTGGTGCTGGTGGCGGCTCCACGACTGCTACCGGAGGCACCGGTGCCACGTATGTTGGCGGTGGTACTGGTGCCGACTCTACCACCGAAACTAACGGTGCTGCAGGCAACGGAGCTGCATAGGGTTGTTCCACAACTGGAGGTGCCACGATGCCTGAGTAGGACCTAAATATGGCTTGCGCATTTATTCCAGTGAATGAATAACCACGATGAAGTCATGAATGGAAGTGAGCTTCCTAATTGTAGTCTAGCATACCTTCGTATAAGTGATAAAATGCAGAAGACGTAGATGCAAGATGTCATTTTGAACTTTGCACATGCACATCCTTTTCCTTGTGTATTTATAAGATTAGCGCAAACTGCGGGTGCTTTAAAAACATAAGTGGACTCGTCTGCAGCTAATGGCGAGAAGTTTTATGTGCCAAACCTTGACTTCCTTTACCAGTGACATTTGTAAACTAGGCGAACTTGTTTGTCGACGCCATTAGCGGTCGTTCTGCATACTTGTCGCTTTTTAAAACGAAGATTACATTCTCACTGATACGTCAAAGCAATAACTCTCACAAGCGTGGCGCGATAGAAAATAAAGAGCATATGTTCTAATACTCAATCTAATGGACATTTCTCTTTGAGCTTTGATTTTAAATTGGTAACATAATAACTACACTTGAGTTGCCAAAGGGGTGGATAACTAGAAAGTTAAGCTTTCCATGCATATGAGCAAACCAGTGGCGGTCCCAGAATTTCGGACCGGGGGACGGGGCGCGGCAAAAATTTTTTTCAGTTGAAGGCGCGTGGCTAAAGCCACGCACTCCGGAAAATTTTTTGGGGTACTTCCGAAAATTTTTGCGTGCTCATAAAACCTGAAATCTAGAAAAAGACGCCACACCTCGAAAACTTTTTGACAAGAACAATTTAAATTTTTAAAAAATTTAAAAAATTATTAATTGTATTACAAGAATTAACAAGTCACTTGCGCATTTTTATAACCCATATAAGTTGATTTTAGAGAACTTCGCGACCCATTCTCGGGGGGTGGAGGGGGGACGCCTTTCCTCCTTTCCCCTTCTACCCCCCCCCCCCCTCGGTCCGCCACTGGAGAAACAGGAAATCAGTATCGCTAGTGAGCTTTTAGTTGAGATTCAGTGACTAATCTGGATACTACTTTATTGGTTTGCGTGTATCTCAAACGCAACAACTCTCGCACTTTATTTAGTTGTTTGCTTAGCAACATTTTGTTCCAAATTTCGTCAAATTTGGTAACTTTTTATATCAACTGACTTTCTATCTTTAGTGGCATGATCTTAATTTCAAAAGTTGTTCCGCACGAATTCCATGGTCAGCGTTTTGTTGATTGTCATTACCATCACAACGTAGATTGTCTCTAGCCTCGATTACTAGTGCTTCGATCTTGATCTAGCCTTAATAGCTAAGCACACAGCGATTTACCGTTATTTGCACATGACTTCTACCGCGAATTCCAATTCAATATGCACAGAAGTGGCTGCAGATTCCCAGTTTGTCACGCCTTGTAGTTCTTATTGGACTGCATACTTGTACTGTATATTCCTACTAATATTATGTGTCCCATAAGTTTCTTCGTAGCTGATTCACCGACACACGTCATTTCTTCTGACATTTTTAGTGGAATGCGGGCAACCATTCGACAGATAAGCAAGTTCTACAAGATTACGCTCAAGGTTCGCACCAAATTCGAGCCGCATAAAGTTTCATGCCAAAATAATTCCAAAATTCCGGAAAAAAAAAGAAAATGATCGTATTTTAGTTCAAAACAGTTCTGCGATCCCACTCACTCCATGCAATCTCCCCATCACAAACTTATACATACATTTGCTGCATTTTTCTGATGACTAAAAAGCAAAAAAAACGCGCTAAATTCTCAAATTTTTTCTATGTTTATCGAAAATATGTGATTATGTAGCTCATTTAGTCAGAAATACTACCACAAATTTGCAGCCTTGTAGGTAATCTAGTTCTCGAGAAATATCAGTTTGAAGGTTCGAATGTGAAAAAACATATGGAACAATCTACTATTTGCCCTCTATTAGATCATTTCAAAGGAAGTACTGGACCCTACTTATTGATTACCAATGCCATGGACCTAAGACACACGATAAATTGTCTTATGTTTTTGATTTTGCGCACTGTTTTGAAAGCACGATAAGTAATCGTAATTCAACTACAAATGTACAAATAGGAATAGGATACTATTTGTGAAGATTGTAACCGCACTGAAGATAAAGTCAACACAATACTCTTGCTTCTACTCCTCGACTGTTCATTCATTTCAAAACTTCGTGACACACGTTTTGCGAGCCGTTATGGGGACTGATCACAAATACTTTTACACCTCTTTCCTTGAGGTGAACTGAATGTGTACAGTGAAAAATATTCATGATGAAAAATGAAAATAGTTGACAATGAACACGAGGAGAAATCGTACGTACCTGTATGAAATACACGTATGGAAGCATATCACATACTAGTGATATTAAGATACATGATACATGAACAGATTCAAATTTGAGGACTTTGACAACCTAAGAGATGCACTGAAATTCGTATAACACAAAATGCTAGTGTACTTGGGGAGTATAACACTCATACCGTTGATAATATAGTTACTACTTACGACGCTCACTATGTTCTCGTATTTGATATTATCACAGCAATCATCATGATTAGAAGAGGCGACCAGCGGTTGGTGGATAGCCCTTCTCTGAACTCGAATCCTAGTGCCATTACATGAGCCATTTTTTCAGTTGAGCTCGTATATTAGGTGTGCCAAAGTTCGTAGCGTCTTTTGAAGGAATAGCGAATCCCGCGCAACAAGAACAGACAGAAGCTTTTCAGCGACAAACAAATGGTATTCGAATCGATTACTTGAAATAAAAGTTTGGATAGCCGAGTAAAATGGCCACTCCAGCGGATTATTCGTAGAAATTCTGAACTATTAGCTGGAGAGCTGCCAAAAGATATTCTATTGCAAAAATTTGCATCAGTTGCTAATATGAAGGTTCTTTTGAAATCTACAGTAAAATCCAGCAAATAGCTGACATGAGTCGAGCAAGTTACTACGGGTTTGAAACTTCGAAGAATATCTTATGGTTAGTGTTCATTATAATAGCCACTTCAACAGCATAACAGTTATAGAAGTTGCAGTCACAGTTTGAAGCCCCTTTTTTCGTTGTTTCGTTTATTTGCAAACAGTTCCAAAGACCACGGATTTCTACCAATCTCGTGTGTTTCTTCTCCTCAAAGTCTGTAAGGCAAAAAAGTGCTTAAAAATAAGCCCTATGCAATACGCTGATTGGAAAAGTCAAAGGATGTTGATTGATAGGAAGCAGGGCCCAGCACGAGGTGGGCAAATAAAATGTTGGAAATCGTTTAGCGTAAAAAAGCAAGTTGGATATCGTTTTTGCGAGATCGGGGCAAAGCCGCGGAAAAAATTGGTAGTTCATGCTCTCTGCTTATCTTAAAATGTTGCCTCAACAGGCGAACAGTAAAGCTCGCGAGCGTCAAACCCCGCCGTCGCTATGCCGCACGCGCGAGTCGGTTAAATGTGTGATGTTATTTGTAACAGCATACATGTCTAGTTCTCGATGTATGCGTAGCGATATGGCACCAAATTTCGTAAGCGAACGAAGAGAGACTAGTGGAAACAAAGTTTGAAGAATTATGAAAAACTTACGTGAATGGAGTTGTAATAAGCGTTCTTCCCCAAAAAATTTTGCATAACTGGTGAATGAAGATGCGAATTCAAATTGCTCGTTTGCAACGCGCAGATGACGATATGATATGAAACTTGGTACTTACATGAACACGGGCCTGCAGGGGTTAACTGAGAAGTTTTATTGAAAGAATATGTGACTGAAGGTTGTGGCACAGGCTTTTTTCTGAAAATTACCCGCAACCAAAAAACTGGAAAAATGGCTTGCTTGCAAGTCGGAGATGACAAAATCGCGCGAGATTTGGTGTACACGCGCAGAGGGACCAAGGAACCAAGTATGAACATTTTTAAAAAACTTAACCTCGAGTCACTTGTAAATTAATATGTGAGATTGCACACTAAGCCCTAGTGGCGACGGCACCCACACTAGTAACTTCCCAGTGAAACATTTTCTAGCCTAACAAAATGTAGAAATATGATCTACTGGCTAACATATAACCAACTAAAATAAAAGAAACCAGGAAACAAGGAGAAATCACTAAAAATGAGCAGGTTCTAGTTTCGCAGTTTGTCAGTTAACGTGTAAAGTTTGCACCACGCATACTAAGCTACGAATGACTCGACGATATGTGAATGAAGAGCGCGCCCAACTTTTTTACAAATTAGGTGGGCAATTGCCCACCTAATGCCCACCTGAAGTAGGCAAAACTTACATTTCACATAAGTTTTCCAAAATTTTTACATAAAGGTATCCTGCACCTCAGTTTAGCACAAAGGTTTTGGTTTCAAAACTCATCCACTCCTCCTTCTTAGGATCCGGAATAGCTACGACGCCGGTTCCTTGGAAGGAGAAAGCGCGCTCCAATCGAACAACCTATGCAGCTGGCGGAATCAAGTAGGAAATCGTAAAAATGGATAGTGGCAAAGGCAAAGCCGTTTTACCGATGTCCATTTGCCACCCTCGTGCTGGGCCTTGATAGGAAGCTACGATACGTACTGCAACGACCTCATTTCTAAAAACAGCACTCTAACTGTAGCATAGTCATGAAAATCGACAATCTGTTCAAAACGTTAATCAAAGCCCGTCAGTGTGTAATGCGCGATAATGAGGATTATCATAGGGAAACAAGCTCTCAAACATGTAAGCATTTCCGCATACTGTAAATCCTGAAAATTGAATAGGGCAATCAAAATTATCCAACATTTCATTGTTTTCGAAAACTTGCCTATATTACATAAAAGGTGCAAAGACAATTATTACAGTAAGCTGCTGTAGAAGCAAAAATGGGAGCATCTCAGCTTTCTTGGGTTTCTCGTTTTTCATCCTATAACCAGCCAGAGAAAGAGCGGAACATTGCCGACTTCCGCTAACGCACAAAACTGATTGACGGTAAATTACCTCGAACGCAGAATAATGCCTTTGAGATAATTCTATCAAACCGCTTCGCGAATGAGTACGTGTCTCCCATCAGTCAGAGCTTCAGAAAGAAAGAACATATATGGAAGTTTGGCTGCGGTTCTGTTGAAAATACACAGAATCCACAAGGTATAGCTAATTATGAGCAAACAAAAGGTAAAGAGTGTTGTCGTCAAGACGGATATGAATGCTTACTCCCCTAGTCTTAAAGCAGAAATAATAAACACTTGACGATCTTAATCAACAATCCGTCCACTTGTGAATCGAAGATTTTTTAAGGCACATGGTATCGACAGTATTGTAGTAAAACCTCTGAACAGACTTAATGGAGACTAGGGTAACATTGAATAAATACGTTCACCTTCTTTACTTACTCTATTCAGCATTTTGACGAGATCCGAAATTGGGTAAGACACCGTTACGAAGTTTTTCCCGCAGGAGGACTCGTGCCGTTTTGGGGTCGACCTAATACAGGAGCGAAAAACGTGTATACGTGTATAAAAACAGATTGCAGTAATAAAAGTGCAGTTCACCTCTAATTGCACTCTGACAGCGCCTTGTCTCCTCTTACTCGGGGATTGTCGGCGAATAAGAAGTTCGCCTTCATCGCCGTTATTTTCAAGTATCTGAACAAAAGTCTTTACTGATCGTTCTAGTGCACTAATAACTGTAAAATTTCGACTTGGATTTGACTCACAAACATAGCATTGCTATTCAAACGATTGTATTAAGTTGGCCCGAAAGTTCCACATCATTTTTGAAAAGTCATAACTTCTTGCTCTACCAACGGATTTGCACAAGTTCAATCTTGCTGGATAGAGGAAACTTTTTTCTTTGTGATACTGTCTTTGTTGCTCTCTGATAAGTAGTAATTTCTGAAATGGAAGCAGGAGAATAACATTACTTCAACTTCGGTCATTTTGGGCTGCTAAATATCTGACACTTGCGGTAAAATTTTGAGCAATCAGAATAGTAAATATTTCAATTTATTTTAAACGAGCACTTTACAAAGTTGAATTTTTCGTAAAAAACTAAAATATCAAATTTGCTGTTCTGTACTAGCTCAGCTAAAAATAATAAATTTTCCCAGAAATGCTCGTCTAACATAAACTCTGCACATATGAAAAGGGTGAAATGAAAGACTTACTAAACTGCTTGCTCATGATTTTATCGCTAGTTTCAGATTTTTGACACCTTAACTCAAAGCGACCGTAGTTGAAGTAATGTTATTCTCCTGTTTCCATCTCAAAAGCTACACCTCAGAGCAGCGGCATTATCACAAAGAAAAGGATTTTCTCTATCCAGCAAAATTAAATTCGTGCAAATCCATTGAGAGGGAGAAAAGTTATGATTTCTTAAAAATGATGTGGAACTTCCGGGCCAACCTAATATTACAACTCACTTTTCTTTTCTTTACTGGTCTCCTTCGATCTGGTTTCGGTTTTCTTTTTCCCAAATGGACAGATGGAGGGGCAACTTCTCGCGAAAGCAGCGTCTAAAGCAGCTTTTCAGGTGTGAAGTTTCACCGATTGTACATCTGTGAAATCCTGTTTTAATATGTATGATAGCTATTTAGCCATCTCAACTAAGTGTGCTGCCTACTGCTTTACTTATTCTTTTCTTTACATAGGCTAAAGCGCTTGTGGGCTCATTGGCCAAGCGGCTTCATTGATTTAACACGTGGCTCACAATCGATGCCAGCAAAAACTATTTGTGAAAATTTATTTCATGTTCAATTTTTTCTTGGTCCTACTTATGTAGGATCCATAGATTCTGTATTCGGTGTTAAGCTTCAGCCCATATAACTCTAGGCTTTTCAGCTTTGTGCCACATTTTTGAGTCATTTTCTTCTACTCGTTATCGACGCCCCATGCTAGGAAGTTTTATCTATTAGACGTCTCCATAAGGCCCACCATTAACTTTTGGAGCCTACTTTAGCGAAGACTTTTCCATTCTCACAAATGCTGCACGCAAGTTCTTCCTTTCCTCAAATTAACATGATCCAAGCGGGGAGTGGTTGTGCTTACTCATTTTACAATCCGCACCAAACTGCTGACAACTCTTCAATTGATTGAAGTCTCGTTGTTTGCTCGCTCGAATCTTTAAGTGTGGCTCATAGGGGTACGATACGCAGTCTGCGAGTCTCCTTTGCTTCTCAAAATAGTTGTGCTAGATCCACTTATAAAAAGTACTCTCCGGTCCTTTGTTTTGACAAAAATCGCTTGGTTTTTCACAGTAGAAATCACAATATGCTTGCTTCTTGTGCCAAACGATCTTCCTGCAGCTTCGCGTTGTGCCTTTATATAGCACATTCTCTTTACCAATCTCTACACTTCATCATTCCAGTACTATATTTTTCACTGACTTTTGCGGGCCACTTGGTGAATCCTATGTTTCGACCACGATTGCTCTGGACTTCTCAAATGTGCGAAAATGCTTGTACTGAGCTCTCACCTCTCTAAACTCAAAAAGCAAAGTTACTTGAAACCTTCGCGGATGACTTTACAGTTTTATGTTTGTAGGTCATTTTTAAGGCACAAATTTCCAAGACCACTCGATGATACTAGGGTGCAAGTCTTGTGTTCATACATTCTCCTTTTTCCTTGCAGGAAGGAAGGCATTCAAATCGTTTACCATATTAGAGATTGACGACGATGGAGTACTGTGCACTAGAGCTGGTGCAACTGATGGCGTAGATCCCGGAGACTCTTCATCTTCAATTTGGATGAAGGTGACATTTCGTTTGAGCTGTAGCTTTTTGAAAGCTTCTTCTTGCTTTTCACGCATTGTAAGCTGACGAGATGCTTGGCGTTTCTAGAAAAATATTTACATAGTGAAAGAGGCGCTTTACATGACAGTGAAAACTAGTCAGCGCAACGATTTACCTCTTTATTTTCCTTGTTGAGATCTTCTTGCATCATAGAACAATACGAAAAATAAACTCGCTTGCGATAACGACTTTTCGAATTTTGTAGAACTTTCCTATAATTTCGCCTATTTTCGCTAATGAATGAGAGAAATCAATTGGTATACTTGCGCATACCTGAATTTCCTTGCATCCGATATGAAGTTATAGACCGGAACAGTCATTGCGCGTAGGTACAATTGTGCAAAAAGGAATACCAGAGATGACACCGCAACAATCCTAATCAATGGTGGATCTCTCCGGCAGTAGACATTCTACTAATTGATTGAGTGTTTATGCACAGCCCGTAAAAATGCAAAGTTAGATTACCTCTTCTGGATACCCGCCTAAGTCAGCCGCTAAAGCAAATGCTGCATCGAGAAGGATAAAAACGCAGGTGGCGTATTGAAACCAGAGTTGGACGAGCAAAAGGTGAGCTCGGCGCTCCAAAATTGCAACGACAAAGAGTACCTAAAATTTTGCTAATAATGCCGACCAAAATAGTAACAAGATTAGATTTTCAACCAATCTTTGATAAGAATACGATGCTTACAGGGGAGAGTTGTGAACTCAAAGTGGCCGATTACTATAAGATGTATCATGTCACGAATAGCTTAAAGCGCGGATCTACCTTCCTCTTTTGCAGGATGGTTTCGGAAAGGAAGTCTTGAACGTTTATTAGCGTTAAATGTGCAAGACCGAGAGTAGGCAAAATTATCAAACCTAATCACCTTGGACTCAAACCTACTTGGAACAACCTATCCATGCTTAGAGTGATGCATTCCGACTTCCATAAAGTAGTCGCCCGAAGCCATATGAATTCTGATGTTAAAAACACCCACAACTTCCAGAAGCGTTTTGCAGATATAAGAGGCAGATTTGAAATCAGCACTCCAAGCAAGGTAGCATTTTGTGGTGGTCGGCCACTTCAACTTCCCGACCCTCCCTTGTTAATCAAAGTGGCATTTGTAGAAGGTACACTGTCATTTAAATGTCGACTCTTTAGGGCAAAAGTATGAACGTGTACTAGATTGTTATAAAGATTGCCTTAGGAGGCCGGATTGTGACTCTCAAAGCTTTTCATGCAATAAATAATTCCAATCCCGAAATTTTTTTTTCTTATCTCACCTTTGCACTCGATTAAAAAATGCAAAAAAACCATTTACAAATCTTGACATCAAGGAATTGATTTGAAATATATACATCTCACCTGGAAAGACCCTTGACTAAGGCCCTTATGCACGTACATCCCCTCTGGGGAGGGGAGCGGATTTGAGGGGGTATGCGTCATATATCGTTACCTTAGGTACCTTTCTTCTTCCTTCTATATCTTGCTTATGAAGGTTCTTATACCTTTGTGCCAAAGCAAAATGTCAGATTACTGCCACACGAGATTGGTTTTTTTACCACTTTGTGTGATCCGCTACGGATCCCCAGGAAATACTCTCATTTTCAAAATCATTTATCTTCCCGAGAAGCCAGTGAAAATGCTGCAAATTGTACTGAGGATATACTACGGCACTGCTAAACATGTTTGTAGTAGAAATAAGTAAAATCTCAAGATATCAGAATTTTCGATGAACCACTGCTCGCGAGCTAGGGATTATCGAAAAATTAATAATTTTCAGATTTGATTTCTCCTGCCAAAATATGCTTAGCTATGTCCTAGTAATTCCTCAGTACAAGTTTGCAGCGTGTTTATTGATTTATCAGGAAGATAAATCCCTTTTAAAATAAGAGGTGATCCCTTGAGTCCCCTGGGGATCCAAAGAATCATACAAAGTGGCAAAAAACTCTTGTACTCTTGGAAATAATCTGACATACATCATGCGCAGGTATAATTGTATGAGAACCTTTAAAGCAATAGAGGAAGAAGAAAAAGAAACGCAGAGTAGCGAGATTTGACGCATCCCATCTCAGATCCCCTCCCTTCCTCAGCGGGGATGTACGTGCATACGGGCCTAAGGAACACTTCACCACTGGCACTCCTAAACGACTGCGTGCTGGTCAATACAAATTTAGACATGCTAAAGCATGTCACCCAAGACAAATTCGGAAGAACGGCGAAGGTAATTTGACTACAACAGTGATGCGTCCAAGGTTTTCAAAGTTGCCCAAGCTGCGCCACCTCTGAGACAGCGCCGAGACGTTGTGCTGTATCGGTAGCGGCATAGCGCTACCAGGATAACGATGACAATTTCGGTTGATACAAGGTGTATTTTGTTGGGGGCGGGGCTATAGTGGACCTCTTTCCTGGCCAAGCGTATGACTCAGGTATTGATCGAAATCATCGAAACCGCGGCAATACTATAGTCGGGACCAGGGCTCAGCACAGCTGGCACCGAGCCAAGCTGGTTATCGTTTTTAGGGCGAAAAGCGAAGAGGATATCGTTTTTCCAGGGTCCGGGGTGAAGCAGAGCCGCAAAAATGCCACCGGCATGCTGTCCATCAAACAAACAAAGACGTTGTTTTCAGCCAAAACGCGATAGTATGCCACCAAATTTGGTGTGTGCATGCGCGTTGAGGGACCCGAACTATGGCCCGAAAAATTTATGAAAACTTATGTGAATGAAAGATGTGCTGAACTTTTTCTTGAATTAGTTGGCACCATGCCAGCTGGGTGCCAGCTAAGCTGGCACCGACACTCTGCTCACATAAGTTTTCATAGTTTTTTTACATAAAATGTATCTACACCGTAAAAGTTTACATACAGAGAGGAAACAATCTCATAATGTTTTTCTTCAGCGTTTTGTGACCATCTGAAAATTACTCGGTTTGCTCCGCAGTCGAAAAATCGGCTTTTTCTGCTTTTCAAGATGTGATTCTACCACTTGAAAAGCTCAGAAAGCTGAGAAGTTGTTCTATGAAAACAGCATGCATGAAAACCCTATTACATACTTTTACATAATATGAAAATAATGAAGTGTCTTTAAAACAGGTCAAGGGGGAATTCGTACATTTCAAGATCAAACAGGACTTCGTTTTGAAAATTATCTGGTGCCAGCTCGTGCCGAGCCCTGGTCGGGACCGAATATTTGTATTCGAACTATTTATTCGAAATATTGAACTATTCGAATATTCGGATAGTCATATATTGAAGAAAGTCCGATCATTCGATTATTTGAGTAATCGAAAATGAAAAAGGTCCTTATTCGAATAATTCATTCATTCAACGATTCGGAAAAATATTAATAACGTATCCGAATATTCGGATACTCGAGGACTTACAAAAGACGGTCATTCGAATATTCGAATATTCGACTAATGCGTTTGAATATTCGAATATTGCATGCGAATATTAGAGTATTGCATTCGAATATCCGATTATATCCATTTATTCGTTTATTCGAATAGTCAAGTTACAATCAAGTCCGGTTTTCGAATAATCAAAAATTCGAATTTTGGATATGCCCGTATTCGAGTATTCGAATTCGAATAATATGAGTCGGAAATAGAATAATATTCTTTATCCGAAAGTTTTTCAAAAATCGATTATTCGATATTCGTTCATTCGATAAAAATTTCAATTCGATACGACTATAGGTTACTGTGCTGGCTGTATCAGCAACAGGTAGGGCAACTCTGGACGGAAAGAATCCACTGCCTGAGAAGCTGCAGGACTTAGGTAAACATGATTCCTTTAGTCATAGGGCTCATAACGATCGCTCGTGTTTGTGACCACTCTCAACTGAAGTTTCTATTGCGTCATCATCTAGTATACACGTTACAGACTTTTCCACGACACAACGAAAACGTGCGTTTTAGTCTGATGTGTAATAGTAATGAACGACTAAAATGGCGGCGTGCATAAAAGCCGTAGAAAAAGTGGGATAGTCAAATTCGAGGCAGCCGCGCATTCGCGCCCCCTTTACGAGGTTCATTTTTTGGTTAAAAGAGCGCTTTGGGATTAGAAAGCAGTGGCAGACCCAGGCGTCTGCCGCGAAATTATCAAGATACATGAGTTATAAAGGTGTGCAAGTGACTTTTCATTCTTGTGAATGATTAAAACATTTTTAGTGTCTAAAAATCGAAGCCGCCATGCCCGCTTTTTTCCAAACTTTCGGAATTATGGGCCCGCAAAAACTTAGGAAGGCATCCCAAAAATTGTTTGGGAGTGAGTGGCTAATGCGCACTTTATTCGAAATAAGTTTTTTTCCTTTTGGGAGAGGGGTTTTTGAGAGTTCCTCTCCAACCCCTCTCCCAAAAGGCGGTCCTGAGAACGATATTGATAGAAAGATCTGCGGAAAGCATTTATGCCGCGTCTGTAGTAAATCATATTCCAAATGGTCACTGCGATTAAAAGTGCATCACATGGAAGATTAGAAATCTTTGTCTTTGATTCTGTCATGGAAGAACCCGCAAATTGAAGAAATTGTCATTGCAAGCATTCATCATCATTGTAGATTTATCGACATTTTTGAGGATGCTACCCACCTTGAAGGAATAAAAGATTGAATACTGCGCAACGGTGACGAAGAAGATAAACCCAGGCAAGCGCTTGTCTTCGCAAGTGAATATATTCAACAGAAAGTGTAACACATTCAGGGAATAGCCAAACAATCCAAAGGCACACTCAATGAGACAAACAAGCATTGCCCTAAAACAAGAAAATATCTTACATTAAAGGATTGCTGCAAGCTATAAGGATATCATGTATAAAGCAGAACCAAAGTTACCAGGAAGGAGTAGCTGGAACACCGGTACTTGTCCAGAAGAATGGCATTTGATATCTTGGTGAAGAGGCATCAAACCTGCAATCACTAGATAGATTGATGGCAAGAAATGTTTAATAAAAAAAACAGTTGCCTTTCGGGACCAACTAGCTCATGCACCTCAAGGGGGGTGTTTAGCGGCCAGAAAAACTGCATCTCTGTAATAAAACTGAGGTTGCACCTGCATTGTTGTTTAGCACATTAGCCTTACGTTCTTTGTTGCGCAAGTCTTTCCATATCTGCTTGCATTCTGCTTTCAATCGATTCAGCGTAGCTTTAACAGTGCTGACATTTCCCCGAGAGTCGGGAATGGACATAGCCAAGTTGAGGTGATGATTAATTCCTTATGCTGATCAATGGCTGAAGCCTGAGGTGTGCATGCTAGATTGATACTTTTACTTAAAAATAATTGAATGTTATCCATACTGATTCATGACAACTTGGGCTGTAGTAATCTCCATGAATGTGACGTACAAGGTCGCAATCTAAGCTCGAACTCAGTTTCATTTCGCAAACTTTTGATCTATTTGTCGGCGATCTTTATACCACGTATCGGTCTTAGACGTGACGTATCAGCTCGCGTTATACTCGCAACTTGTGATATGAAGATTGCTGGCAAATAGATCAATGACTTACAGGATGAAACTGAGCTCAAACTTAGATTGCGGTCTCGTTTGCCACGTCCATGGAGATTACTATGGCCCCTTATGTCCACTGTTCATTTTTCTAATCATTCTATCAGTCAGATGATTTAAATGAGAAATGCCATTGCATCAAAGACCGATCAAGAAATTTTATTGGTTTTTCAGATTGAGATTCAGTGTGAGGACCAGCTAGTCTACGGACAAAAGCTGGTTGTATCCCTGGAAAAAAGTTGAGATTTTAAAAAAGGGATAAGTTGTACAAAGTAAGAGCGAAAAGTGTTTCTTCATCAGGAAAATGAGACAAAGCAGTAAAAAGCAAAGAACAACAATTGATGGTCTAGGAAAGTAGTGCTATACGTGTAACAAATAGAGTTAGACTTGAGGCAGATAAATTTTTCTTTTTCCTCAAGACATGACTACAGGAATAGTGGGTGGTGAAAGATTCTTGTATGGAAAAAGGCCATTAACTGGCTAGAGTTGAAGAACGTGAAGTCCCCAAAGGCGTCCTGCAATGGGTAAAACAGGATGCCCTTGGGATTTCAAAAAACTTATAATAATTTCAGAACTTCCAAACATCTATATTGACAAGAAAGGCCGATCCTGTAATAGCTACTACAAGATTAACGCGTGCTGAAAAGCAATTATAGAATTGTTAAGTTTCCTATCTTCTTAATGAAAGGCTGAACATGTGCAGTAGCACGAATGAACTTTGGTAGTTCGGAAAAATCTTCCGTTTTTGGCGTTCAATTGCCTTTGGTATAAAGTAGAATAAGCTTGGCGCATGCCGTAGAGGATATTGAAGACGACATTACGCTTTGTTGTTATGTTCTACTGCAGTAAAAGTTATCTTGTGACCTTGAAGATGCTGTTCGAATTAGCTTTTTGGCTTGTGCTTCGAATCTTTCGACGCCTCTTGAAAATATCGACTTATAATTTCTTTTAGGCTTGAAAAAAGTGCAAAAACATTATTGGACATTGTTCAAACCGTTCGCTATTTTGATTTTGTATATATTGAAGCATCTGAAAACTTTACTTGCGTTTTACAAAAATCTGAATTGAAACTATTTGCAAAGTTTTTTTTAACCATTGATGGATTTCCAATAAAAGAGACTCCCAGTTTTTTTGGAGCTTCAGTTCTTCATTGGAGACTAATCTAGTTTCCGCTCGCAACGTAAACAATTTTTGGAACTGAGTGGCTCCTATCATGTATGAAAGCAAAAAGATGCAGTGATCTCCATTCGAATGCGGCAACCTAAACATCGCACATGTTCCAAAATTGAGAATGCCGACTGTATAAAAGAAGAATCGCTTAAAAAGCGAGCCTAGTAAAGCCCTTTTGAACATGAGTAGTTTATTTCAAAAGCGAATTAGCTAATTTTTTTTGCATTCAATACAAAGGACTACTTTGTACTGAGCGCAGAAAGACGACTTCTTTGCTCAAACTAGGAATCACATCTCGAACCTCCAAACTACAGAATTAGGAGTAAATCCTAACCTCTTTTTTTCATGTTATTCGCCTAAGTGTTTGTGCCTCCCACAAACATCACTCACAAGGAGGAAGTTATCCACTAGGATTCGTATTCTGTTCAGGAATGATATCCACGAAAGTCCATAATGGAGGAAAATGGACTTCAAAACTCCATTTTATTCGTTCGCGATAGATGGTCGGAATCTACTTTCGCTAGCGTTATCCAAAAATTTTTATCTCATCGCACCCACGAGGCAAAGCGGTGTGATGAAAATGATTCAACCCTACTTGAGCTCTCGCTTGCAAAAGAATCATGCGAAAAGTCCATTTAGAATGGGGCAAAATGGGATTTACCTCCATTTTAAATGGACTTGAAAGCCCATTTTACTTCCAGCAGCAAGGCGAGCTGGGACTAAGCTTATTTCTGACCTTTTTGCATATTTTTGATGGCAATTTTTTGAGAATGTGTTCCTCAGCTCATTCTAAGGTAACAAGTGAGTGGAAAAATTCCTGTGTTTTATGAAGTTCTGAATTAAGTGTTTCTTTCTAAACTCATACAAACGCTATAAAAATCATGGAAGAAAGTTAAATTCACCAAAATATTCCCTAACAAACTCAAATGCTTCCAAATATCAGGTCGATGCGAATATTCCTATGTAAAGCGAATAAAGTTTGTTAACTCTTCAAATCATCAACCAAAACTATACTCATGATTTGTATTTGAGAATAAGAAAGATTTGCGTTTTGATATAATTACTCAGAAGCTATCTTTCGACTGCTCTCATAGAACCGAACCTCAAAGACGGCACTTCAAACGCGATTTTGAGATTGTAGGCAAGATACTGAAATGCCGCTAGCTAGCAAGAAAAATTTTGTGAAAAATTTTTTACTAGCAATAGTCCATACATTCAACTACTTGGAGATATAAACATTAATGCTGAAAGACAAAGACGAGTTAAAGTAGAATATTTTTCGAAGTCATCCTTTGCGACTCGTAGTTTTCCGATTCAAAGAACCCTTTGGGTTGTAGGGCAAGGTTTCCTACGAGATAAGCATTTTGCTTCACAGATTGCAGTGCAAGTCTAGCCAAAGTTTGCTTTCCCCAGAAAGCTCTACATACGAATTTGACTTGAAGCAGATCCATAGAAGTCTTGAGAAGCGAAGGCCCGGATATTATGTGAATTCTATTCTTGAAGATGTTTTCGATGCATGATTATCGATAACAAATGACATTTTTAGATGCATAATGAAGTGTGAAAGCATAGAATATTCATGTGACTGTCATCGTAACGTTAGGTCAGCCCTAGTTAGATGCCGACCACTTGGTAGAAATGAGTTTGCAAGAGTGAGTAAACAGGTTGAGGCAAGTTGGAGAAAGGTTTGCTGAAGAATTTTGTATGAAATGAATGGATTCGCGAATGCGATATCTTATCGCACCGCGTGGACTAAGGCAGGCGCTATACTCCTCGAGGAGTATAGCATGGCGACGGGCGATCGCCAGTCGCTACGACTTTATAATGAAGTGTGAAAGCATAGAATATTCATGTGACTGTCATCGTAATGAGACAAACAAAGTTTGGTAAATTTTTCCATCAGATTCCGTGTTGTTTTCAACATTGTCATGTATGCTTTGACAAAAAACTTCTTCAAAAGTCTAAAAAATCTATATAAAAGGAGTGCTCATTGTCGCTTGTCACAACCTTGTAGCGCTTCGGAAACGTTTCCAGTAGCTCCGCGCGTTAGTGTTCATAGCTACGCGGGCAACTGACCCTACAAGGCCTGTACAAGTTTGTGACTACCACAGTCACTTATTTATCTTCTCCTCTCTGTCATGTTTCACTCCGTGGGAACGAACAATAATTCTGATTAAATCTTGTCAAAATTACACTATTCTCTCAGAGGGTTATTTGCTGACTTTATTGGATAGAAAATTTTTGATAATCTGCGAAGCAAACGGACATATTAAATACATAGGCACAAACTCAGACAGACTTTCAGCTTTCTAATGGGGTTTTTTCTGTAGTTGCGGTGGTATATGAAAAACTCCGAGATAGCATTAGCAAACATCGAAAGATGCTCAAGCACTTCACAGAATGACGCCATGATTTTTTTATAATCAAAAACTTGTGACTTTTCTGAGATTGCCAAATTGTAATTGGCACCAATTCGGCTTGCGATATCTGAAAATATTAGGTCGTCCCGAAAGTTCTTGCGCACGATTTTCAAAAATTTGTAACTTTGCGCTGTTTCAACGGATTTGCTTGCCTGTAATTTCGTTAGAAAGAATAGGTCTTTCGCTTTCAAACGCTGTTTTGCGGAGCTTCTGCTTCACATTGGGTGCGGAGATAAAAATGGAAAACTAAGACCATATAAGTTTTGACCTTTTTAAGTTAGGTCGCCAAAAATCGGGAACGCTGCAGAAAAATCTGAAATCGTCAATACATATGCTTTTTTGGCCTACTCTTTGCAACTGTGAAAAGTTTGTGTTGTTTGGACGTTTCTGTGAGAAGTTATGATGATCGAGTTTTATGGAAAAAGCCAGAATTAATTAATTCGTCAATTTTCGCAAAAATCATAACTTCTCATAGAGACGTCCAAACAGCACAATTTTTTCACAGATGTAAAGGGTATGTCAAAAAACTTATGTACTGACGATTTCAGATTTTTCTGCAGCGTTCCCGATTTTTGGCGACCTAACTTAAAATGGTCAAAGCTTATATGGTCTTAGTTTTCCATTTTTATCTCCGCACCCAATGTGAAGCAGAAGCTCCGCAAAACAGCGTTTGAAAGCGGAAGACTTATTCTTTTTAATGAAATTGCAGGCAAGCAAATCCGTTGAAATAGCGCAAAGTTACAAATTTTTGAAAATCGTGCGCAACTTTCGGGACGACCTAATATTATTTCCAAGTTTTAAGAGGTTTTTTGAAATCTTAACAGTTGTCAAGTGGTTCCAGTGCATAGTATTGCTTATAGTTACCATCACTGCTCACAAAAGTCTTCCAACACTCTCAATACTCAGCAAAGGGACTGGACCAGGGCCCGGCACGCGTTGGTTTGGAGGATTTTTGGGAACGAAGTCCCTTATGAATTCGCGAAGATTTACAAAGTCCCTTTTGACGTAAAAGTCAGAAGGGAAACCCTGTTCAGTCAGCATAACAAAACATATCGATAAAAAAGCGAAAACGAGTTTGAGGAACCTATCATA